AATGCATAGGAATATAATTTGTCAACATTTCTTATACATCTAGATAGACGTTCATAGAACGCATCTTTATTATTTTGTTCAGTTGGTGCGTAGACATTAATCAACAAAGTCTTTCTCTCTCCTGCTTCTATTATGACCACTATAACTCTACCGTCATTTGATAGGTGAATTAATCTGGTATGAAACGACACGTTCTTCTTTATGAGGATTACAACAACCCTGCTATGCTTCGTTCCAAACGAGTGAAAAGTTTTGCCTCCCCATTCTTTATCAACTTTTTTTTGTATTTCTTCTGTCAAAAATGTTTCCTGTAATAAAATTACATTTGACTTTTGTCTAACAAGAAATTGAAACAACATATTTCGTTATTGCTTATTTCTTAGCTCTCTCACATTGAGAGAAAGAGATTTAAACAATTAACACCTTCGATCATAAATATAATATCCCAAAGTAGTTATATACTGATTTGTAACCAGGCTTCATTTTGTTCCTTCGTTTCTTCGCTTTTCTATCGTGTCTTTCTTTGTCTTTTCTTGTTGTAACTCTTGACTTTCGCTTTTCTTTTGATGAGTATAGTTATAGTTAACCATGTTTGTTCAACGGCCAACATGGGTAAGAAGAATGACTTCCGTCAAGATGAAAATTTGATTGACTTTGAGGGCAGTGAGGTGAAGGGGGGGGGGTTATATGTTATGTTCTATTGTACTGTGGATGTAGAAATAGAGATTGGATTATTCGGATGAGCAAATAAACTGAATCAATCATTGCTTGATATGTAACAATTCTGTAAAGAAAAAGAAAAAATATTTCTCATAAAAAGGGTATTTTCTGCAACATTCCTGATTTCAGAAGATAGTTTTGTTTCGATCTGCACAATTAAGATCCATGATCGTTTAGGGGTGCATCGTGTTTACTGCACAATAAATAATTAGTGGTCATCAGTAGTATTGATAAGGCGACATTACCGTGAAATAATTGGGACCCAACACATGCGATGGAAACAGTGTCTTTGACAAGGAAACTTCTTTGTAATGCTTTAATTGTGTTTTACATCTCCTTTTTTGTTAAATTAGCAGGTAGGGGCTTGCTGTTCTGGTAATCAAACATTTGTAGTACAGAACACCCCAAGCAGAGAACCTCAGATGTTTCCAAAATGATAACTAGTTATTCTTTATGTAAATATTGTTTGTGATGTTGCCTGTGTTGTAAACATATCAAAATAGACAGTAAAATCACGAATCTAAGTCATAGTCGTACATTTCTTGATTCTTTTAATCACATTTCAAAATATCACTCCGTCCCTCGGATAGGACGTTAAATGGAGGCCCCGTGTACAGGAGAGTCACAACCCTTGCACGTTAAGAACCCATTACACTATTCGTATAAGAGAAGGGGGAAACCCCGATGTAATGGTCCACCTGCATACCCAAACCAGGCCGAGTATACGGCATCTGCAAGAATCTTCAGTATTGAAGGAGGCAGATTATCTTGGAGAGAGAGAAGAACCTGTTGAAATTAAGTTCAGAGCAATTGAAAAAAATCACTGCAATCGACGATTGAAAAAGACATCATGGTAGTTTTAAAATTTAGATACGCTCGTTTTTTTGCATGATGAGAAGGGAATTAACTTATAAAGTTTATGGGTATACCTGTACTAACAAAAGCTATTGAATACTTGTGTAAAACAACACAATCCTCAAGTGTTACTTGATATTTAGTGACTAGTCTTGTAAAGTCATGAGGAGTTTTTAAAAAAATTATATAAAAACTGAAGTGCAATTTTTAGCACTTGGCAGATTATAGAAAGCAATTTTGGGTGATCAGTACTGGTGCTATACCTGGTTAAGCACCCAAAGGTGCTACTAACATTATACTCACGGTCTGATGAACAGACGTACGGGCTATTAACAGCACCAAGAGTATGCATTACATGATATCAACATTTATGTACAATTCTTACGTATCGTGATTAAAAATGGCTCGTAAATATCGAGATGCATAGTTAATGACCAACAATTACAAATTAACAGACCAATTTCTGGATCGTTTTTATTTTGTTGTATATATTTGAAGAAAGAAAGGGAAATTGTGGACCTATATTAGCCCAGGTGGAAGTAAATGCCAACTGGATTATATACTAATAAGGAAAAAGTGGAGGAACAGCTTGAATAATGTCGAGGCGTATAGTACTTTTGCCAGTGTAGGATCCGACCATAGAATAGTATCTGCAAGAGTCCGTTTGAGCCTTCGAAAGAGCAAAACCTTGGCAAAAGGAAAACAGCACGATTGGAAACTTCTCAGCACTGACAACCACCTTCAGAAGCTATACAGCATTGAAGTCCGCAACAGGTTCCAGCCCCTAGAGAAGGAGGAAAAATCAGCTACCGAGAGGTATGAGCGATTCATAACAGCACATAAGGAGGCTACTGAGAAAGTTATCCCAGTGAAAAAGAAGACAAGAAAGTTGCATTTTCCCAACGATACACGTGTAATCAGTGCTAGAAATAAGATCAATAAAGCCTACATGGAGTACCAGAAAGATACAACTGATGAAAATCGGCAGATCTACAAGCAAGCCAAACACAACCTTGAGGAAGCATACAATGTAGTTATAGAAGAAGATCTTGATAGTAAACTAAAAGATGTGGAGAGAGTGCATGCCAACAGTAAACATGGGCAGAGCTGGAGACTCATAAATGACATAACCGGAAGGAAAGCATCCCCGAAAGGGCAGTTAAAAGGAGACACACAGAAAGACAGGGTCATAAACTGGTTCAACCACTTCAAGAATCTTCTTGGAAGCCCTCCTGATATAGATGATGAGGATGAAGAAATTCTGCCTATACTAGAGAGTCTGAACATCAAGACAGGGCCATTTGATCTGAAAGAATATTCAAAGGCAATAAAGCCACTAGTAGAAGGGAAGAGCTTTGGGGAATATGGCATACCACCAGAGGTTCTAAAAAGATGTGACCTGGATGAAATCATTCTGAGTTTCTGCAACAACGCTCTGATCAATGAAGAAAAGCCCCACCAATGGTCCATACTGAACATTGTACCAATACCAAAGTCTGGAGACCTGAGCCAAGGAGGAAACTATCGAGGAATCAGTCTAAGCTCCATCGTGGCCAAAACTTTCAATAGATTGATTTTGAACAGGATCAGACCTGTACTTGATAGTCACCTGAGAACCAACCAAAATGGATTCAGAGTTGGAAGGACCACAGTGGGACATATTTTGGCACTTCGCAGGCTTATAGAAGGAGTAAAAGAAAATCAGCTCCCGGCTATTATCACATTTATTGACTTTCGCAAAGCCTTCGACACCATCCACAGAGGCAAGATGTTGAAGATCCTTACTGCATATGGCATACCGGAACAACTGGTGAATGCTATTGGCAAGATGTACGAGGACACCAAAGCAAAAGTAATATCACCTGATGGAGAGACTGACCTCTTTGAAATCATGGCTGGTGTGCTTCAAGGTGACACGCTTGCACCTTACCTATTTGTAATAGTCCTCGATTATGCCTTGCGAGCAGCTATAGACGGCCATGAAGAAGAACTTGGATTCCAACTAGAAAGAAGGAGAAGTAGGAGAGTTGGTCCGGAAATCATAACAGACCTAGATTTCGCCGATGACATAGCCCAGCTATCTGAGGTATTAGAGCAAGCCCCAAAACTCCTGAGCAGGGTGGAGACATCGGTAGGCAAGGTCGGGCTCCGGATGAATTCAGGCAAAACCAAGTTCATGTCATTCAATCACAGGGGGATCATCACTATAAAAACAAATAATGAAATTCAGTTGGAGAATGTACCTGATTTCAAGTACCTGGGAGCACTGATGGTGAGCACAGAAAAAGATGTGAAAGCTCGTAAGTCAGCAGCATGGAGAGCGTGTAGCAAGCTTGGAAGAATCTGGAAATCTTCTCTTCCTAGGCAGTTCAAACAACGTTTGTTTGTTGCTACAGTTGAATCTGTGCTTCTATACGGCTGCGAAGCATGGGCAGTTACAACAAAGCTGGCAAAAGAATTAGATGGTTGCTACACCAGACTTCTTAGGACAGTATTCAACGTGCACTGGAGCCAGCATATGACCAATAAGGAGCTGTACGGGAATCTACTAAAAGTATCAGAAAAGATCAGGGAAAGAAGACTACGTTTTGCAGGCCACAGCTGTAGGAACATCAATGAACCAATATCTCAGCTTTTACTCTGGAAGCCTAAACACGGGAAGAAGAAACCTGGAAGACCTCATTTTACTTATACAGACCTACTCAAGAAGGATACGGGACTTGAACTGTCAGAGATGAAAGCAGCCATGCTGGACAGGAATGTGTGGATGGCCATCACGGCTCGGGCAGTTGACCCGACTTAAGCAAGTAAGTAAGCATATATTTGAGACGCTATGGGCCTTCCGTAGCAGAAGCCTTTAAAAGTTAACATTTTCTCATACTTTACAGTTGGGAAACCTACATTGTACGATCTATATTTGTATATATCAATATGTATTGCTACTACGGGTTGTATTTCATACAGATATATTTATAATAAATTAAATTTCGACATAAAACTACAATTCTAATTAATTGATAATACGATATTCAACAACGTTCTGAAATATTATCCAATTATGGATCTGTGTGGTTGATATAAATCAGGGAAATAAAATAATCGATCATCTGTTTGGAGGCATAAGGCTGTTAAAACTACACTCCTGCAAGACCTCTACGCTCATCCACTTCCAATTTTCTTGTGACCCCCAAAATTACCAAAACGTGGGGGGAAAGATCATTTGCATACTCCAGTCCTAAATTATGGAATGGCCTTCCTGAAGACATCAAAACATGTTTATCCTCTGATTCTTTCAAAACTCATCTCAAAACATTTCTTTTCAAGTCTTGATCTTTTTTCCTGTTTACACGCGCCTTGAGCACTCTACAGAGTGGATTTGGCGCGATATAAGTTACATTATTATTATTATTATTATTATTATTAACATACAGGTGTGTATACATTATTAACACAGAGTTATGCCCTTCTGGCTCTAAACAGACAATTTCGTCTTCTAATATTTACAATAGTATAAACATGTATATATACACTCAAATAATGATTACACCATTCATATATCTTAGGACTAAATTTATAAGGATACATTGAACATTATCATGAACATACGAAATCATAGTTAATTAAAATGAAGAAGTAACACTTCAATTCTGATTTTGGGAAAGATAAACGTCATCATCATTTTACAAATTTTAGAATATTAGGACACATATGTCAAGAAACAAATAACCACGATCTTAATAAGGTTTCATGTACAGATAATCATCGAACGGTTCTGTTGCCCGACAAGACGCCTGTCCAAATTGATTATGGTTCAAATTTTTCGGGACAGTTGACGGAGAGGGCATCATGTCGTTAGTAGGATTGTCAGATCTGATCGTTGACTCGTACATCTCGCCCCCTGCCAGACCACTGGCAGAGGGGTCACAAACAGAATACTCAGGGGGGAGCGCCTCTACGCCCGCCCCGTCCATCTGAAGGGGTGCAAGATGCCGAACAGGAAGATGGGGCGCTGCCTTTGGAATTGCAGGTAGTGTTCCGAACCTGCTACCTTTCTCAAGAGAACCTGCTATACGTGTCGCGTACATCGATATGTAGTCGTTAGAGGGAAAATCACTTGGTGACGCGTAGGTAGGATCGTCTAAACTCTTCCCTTCAGCACAGGGGTACGGCATTCCACCCGTAGCCCCCATGGGTGGATGACTGACAGCAAGGTTGTTCTGCCGTTCGTTAAGCTGGACGCCATTAGTAATTAATGTATTCATTCGTTTCCTATTTACAAACCTGTAATAAAAGTAAAGGATATGCATTATGAAACTGCAAGAATCTCACCGTTTTTGTTGGCTTATACCCCCTTCTCTCTATCTATCTCTTACTCTCTCTCCCTCGATCTTTCTCTCTCTCGATCTTTCTATCTCTTTCTTTCTCTCTCTCACATACACACACCCTCACTTTCTCTCTCTCTCTTTCTCTCTCCCACTGACACACAAACACCCACGCATTAATTTTCTATCTCTCTCTTGCTCTCTCTCTCTCTCACCCATTTTACTCGCTGCCTTTCTCATAAACTTAATCGCTATCGCTCTCTTTCTCTCTCTCTCTCTCTCTCTCTTTGTTAATAACTCTGTATGCATTTCCCCATATTCCATCTCGTGAACATTCAACAATTGCTCCTGTGCTGATCAAATTCAATACATCGAGCCTCAGTCCTCCCTATCTACAATGCCATCTGGTAACAACATGAAAATTACTATGTTATTGTATGTATTGAATATTTGACGATGAACGCCTGATATGTACTCACTTGTAAAGGAAACAGAGGAACATTCCAATTATCAGAACGAACAATGCCCCAGCCACAATACCAATGAGAGCTCCGATCGGCAATCCATTTCCATCTGTAAAAGAGGGAGCAGCATAATGTTAAACATTTAACACTGAATCGGAGGCCTATATTGGACACAGGGGCAGGAGTGGTTCTAGAAGATTTATTATTATGGCCTACTCCCCGCCCCCTCCAACAACACATAAAACTAGAACCTTCAATGCACAAGGTGTCACTCGAATAGCTTGAAAAGTTAGGCTACAGTCCAACAGACTGGAATTTTACGGAGCCGATGATGGGCCTTCTGAGCCCGCCCCCCCCCCCCCCAACCCACTCAGTGTTATTTAGGTTACGCATATGCATGTTCCCTCCTTTTGAAAACACCCCCTAAGTCCGGTGTGTAAAAGTCAATACGGGCCGGATTTTTATGTACTACGAGCCGGACTTTGGGGTGTGAAAAGTCCCCTTTACCGGACATTTTGGTAACACGCATGGTATCCCTCCGTTCACGGAGTGGGGGGGGGGGGGCGGGGGCTTCTGCGAAGTTACGCAAGATCTGGAAACTAACTTGCTGGTCTCGCAACATTTGTGAGAGTTTATGAGACGCAGCTAATATTAGGGAGCCAAGTTCTAACCATTTTGTGTGCAAAGAAAGGGGCATCAATTTGCACGCCAGTAAGAATGGTGTATTTGACAAGGAGACTTCTTTGGAATGCATGAATTGTGTTTTACACTAAATTTTCCAGCACTGTATTCGTGTGAGACAAGTTGCCAACAAGCAACGGGGGAAACGGTATTCGAGTCTTCAAACTTGCCCACAAGATTAAAATCCATTTTGAGATTTGCCGTTAGATGTTCCACTTTGGGCCAAGCAAAAGCATAGATTCATAAGGACTTTAATGACAAGGCTATTACTGTCCAAAAACGCGCCAACAGATGGGGCCATAGCTAGTAGGAGAGAAATAGTTACGTCACTTGAAGTCAGACTCGTTCATATGACTCCAATTCATAGAGCACCGAAACCGTTCATTGCAGAGAGATGGTGTCTTCGATGGAACTTTATCAATTGACCTTTAAGGCTATGTGTGTCAGCCCCCCCCCCCCCCTATAGAGACGCCATTGATTACTGGTCTGTTATGGTGCTTTATGAATTGACCCGAGGCTATTTAAAAGGTGTGCCACCCCCACCCCCTTCTTATAGAGATGCCGTATTGGTCTACATTCCAATGCATGTATAACGTTCCAACCTGTTTGACAATCCAGATCAGCCAGTTGAATCCATTCTCCTGAGATCCCATCACATCTCCATATCACTGATGCGTCTTTCTCATCACATTCTATGGTGATCAGATCCTCTGGCATGTAAACGCTCTGAGGTTGTACAACGTGGCTAAGTGGATGGTCGGGCAAGGGACAGGTGATCACTGTAAATAGAATTCATGAGAGTTTTTGCCGTCATTTCATCAATAACTGTTTGAATGTCTCATAGGTCTGGGCCGTTGCGAGAATGAGTTAATGAGGACGAGAAGAGAAGAAGTAGTGATATTACTACTACTACTAGTAGTAGTAGTAGTAGTAGTAGTAGTAGTATTGGTAGTAGTAGTAGTAGACTCAGGGGGGGATCTAGCTTTTTGCTAAGGGGGGGGGGGTTGACCAAAATAATGACGATGCAGAGCATCGTCCACGAGCCGCGAAGCGGCGAGCCGATTTTTTTTTTGGGGGGGGTTTATTTGAACCCCGTAAGTGATGTTTTCCTGGCATCTATTAACACAATGGAGACCATAAAAAGCAGTGCATGATAACGTCTTTTTAAATCAAGTAACAGTTAAATACACAGTTATATCCAGAGTTATCATGTGTTTGGTTAAGTTACCAGATGAGTTGAATATCTTCTCACAATATTTGCACTTGAAAGGGTTTCTCTCCAGCGTGCGTTCTTTTTTCTTTCTTTTTTTTTCTTTTTTTTCCCCCTTTTTTTTTTTTTTGTTTTTTTGGGCCGCCCAAGGGGGGGTTTAAACCCCCTAAACCCCCCCGTAGATCCGCGCCTGGCAAGGGACTCTGTGACATTTGTTCGCCCAACCCCCCTCCCCCCCCCCCCCCTCCCCCCCCAAAAAAGAAATAATAATAATAATAATAATAATAATATTAATAATAATAATTAATAATAATAATAAATGAAATAAACACATAGAAATAGAATAAAATAAAATTACAAGTTTAAAAAAAAAGATAAGATTTTAAAAAATGGTCCCCGGATTTTTTTTTTGGGGGGGGGGGTTGCAACCCCCCCCCCCCCCCAACCCCCCCTCTAGATCCGCTTCTGAGACTAGTCGTAGTAGTAGTAGTAGTAGTAGTAGCAGTAGAAAAAGTAGTAGTTGTAGTAGTAGGAGTAGGCCCAGATTTAGTAGTAGATGAAGTAGTAGGCCTTATCTTAATCATCGTCCTCATAATCATCATCATCACCACGATCATCACCATTAACATTCAATGACTATAGTCCCGCTTGTCGATGTCTACCTACCTGTTTCGCAATACTCTCCCGTGTATCCTGTCTGACAGGCACACGAATAGTTCGGATCTCCGGGTACTGTACGGCAGGTCCCATACACGCATTGAACTGTAAGACATACCTCACCTAAGGCAGGAAATCAAATATTTGTTATATCATCATGACTATTATTGACATTTTAAAAAAATACAACTTACATTAATAATGTGTGCTTTTGTGACATACGGATGTTTCGTCAAAGTTTATTTCAGATTTGAATTATTTTCAGTATTAGACCCTTTGGAAAATAGAATGTGCTACATCTTCGGGAAATAATTGTAGTCACTTTCAAATCGTGTTTTTTCCAGTTTCATATATCTTGTTGAAACAATTATCTGAATATAGCATATTTTCAATTAAAGGGGAAATCCACCCCAAAATTATGTCGGATTTATTAACAGCAGAAAAATGACAATAACCAGTTAGTGAAAGTTTAAGCAATATCCAATTAAAAATAGGAAACTTCTGAATTTGGAAGCTGTCTTCAGTGAAACACAAACTGGCAACACGTTTTTAGGGAAAATATTAATCTCTGAAGTTTTTTTTTAGTAAAGAGCAAACATTCATAATTATGTGGCATGAAGTGTGGGGCAAACTCCACCCATTCGTTGAAGGAAATTTCAGCACGATTCAGTCACTATATTTTTTATTTTAATCATTTCAAAACTTAACAGTATAAAGCAATTATATAATCAACTTATTATCAACTGCTCCCAGACAGAGTGTTCCATAATTTAATTTCAAGTACTCAACTTTTTATTTGAATAGCTGCATTCTACTTTCATTTTTTTTTTAATGAAGGATAAACTACAAGGCATTGATATAGATGTCGCAGTATATACCAAAGTTGACAACCGATGGATATGTTGTAAAGATGTGGTAATTCAAAGTGGGTAAATACTGTAAATAAGTCTCCGCTTTGGAGTTTCCATACAGCGACGCAGTGAGCTCCATGATTATATTCATTTTGAATAATTCAATGAAGCGGTTTTTGTGTAGTTAAAGAGGGACACCCATTGTCCTCCAAATATCTCCCGATCCTTTAAAGCGATCCCGATTCTACACATGTTTTCACTCTGCGGCTTCGAAAGTGTCACCACGTGTCACATGTCAACTGTGAGTTTATATGCTACCAACACTAAGAAACTGTGTCAAAGCCGTATTTTTGTAGACATTTAATGTATGAAACACTGATTTACACATTCATATATTAGGAAACACAGATAAATGAGAAAGATGCCAACCGTATGTAATGACGGATTCCACGTTGAGATTAACGGAACCGTCTGCAGATTGCCAAATACCAGGTTCCTGAAGCCCAAGGGACGTCTCCAATGCTATTGCTTGGTCTTTCAAGATATTCCTATCAGAATCGAAGATCATGACTTCGAATTCGGCCACGATACTGCCTGCTGAAAATCCAGTGATGTCAATATCCCACTCGCTGCTTTGTGTGCTCATGATGTTCATTATAACTGTATGTAGCTGATATAGAACGATAACGAAACATCAAAACCATGGTCACGTTTGTGTTTAAGGATTGACCTTTGCATACAAGGCGTCATCTTGCTGACGGAGGCCTACTGCTCCCTCAACGACTGGGGTAGTCTTGGACGCTTCATGTAAGAGAGAGTGACACTATTCTAAGATAATTGCAATTAAGATTAACAGCGCAAATACTGCTTTGAATTTCTGTTGTTTGGGCCAATCACCTCCACAGGCTTGAAACAAGGATAATGCAATCAAAGTTACACCCTCTGTGCTAAGAGACTAAGGTTTTTTTTTTAAGAACTAGCTATCAGCATACACTATATTAACTAAAATATTCTTCAAAACAGACGGACATCATTGCCTTTGTTCATATGAAACATTGCTTTCAACTGAATAGTTGAATATAAAGTAACAATCTGTTTTTTAAAAATTCAGGTAAATCACGGCGAGAACCTGCGTCAATAAATGTCTTGAATTTTGTTATACATGTAGTAAGGTTGCACGGCAAACGTCATTTTTAATGGGTTGTTATACCTGCGATATTTAAAAACAAAATAAGGCAATGCAGGCAATTCTCATATCTTAAGAACTGAATTTACTGGGTGCATTGTACTATCTCTTTTGCAATTGCTTTTAGGCGATCCTCAGCAGTATGCTTAAACATAGGGTAGTTATTTACTTATCTTAGATATCGATTGTATTAGAATACGACAAGCTATTTAAGCACTTTTTCTTAGACAACAATCTTAGAATATCTACTTAATCTTAATTATTAGCTAAGCTAATTTTAGCTAAGACCTTTCTCTTAGCAAAAAGAGGATTTTGAATGAAGGAATGTGAGCATTATAGGACTACGTCTTAAATTAGAGCCCGTAAAGACAGGTAACTACAGGTAACTACAGGTAACTCAAAAGGTTTTTACATTTCATGCTTAAAAAGTTTATTGAATACGGGCCCTGTGCGTGACGCGAACAAAAATGTGCTGCCTCAAAATACAAATCACTGGCCTATCAATCCGGATGTATATATATAATGAGGGATTATGAAAAGTAAGCTTACGACTTTGTGACACCTTGTCTCCATAGTCATGGATTCATTTGACATTGGGTCATTGAGTTCATCAGTGAATTCAGCATCTTCGCCGTTTATCCGTGTAAACTGTATAGCGCCACCTACAGACAGTGAAACTTAGGAAAAGAGAGAGGGCCAAAATACAAGAGAAATGGGTGATAATCGATTTGTTTATACAATCCAATGATTAATTACTGACAACACTATGATCGCCCGTTAGGAGCCAGAAAGGTGTTAACTCTTGTGCTTTAAAACAGAGTAAACACTTTTCTGGCTCTAAACAAACGATAATTATGAACAAAGTGTCGAACTCTTAAATTTCAGAAACTGATATTAAACTATTATCATTATCCCGAGTTTTGAAGAAATAATAGAGATTATATAACTAATTTAAAACTATCCTTCGCAGTGACAATGAAGTGAAAGTGACATTTTTACACGCTGGAGATATTTCTACACCTTACATAACCAAAGTGAAAGCGTGCATTAAAAAGGGACTTTGAATGTAAGCGCTTATTTTGTTTGTTGCCATGCACTTGATTCATTTTTTTTAGAAAATGGTTGTTGTTGTTGATGTTCTTGGGTTTTAAGGCTGACCAATCTAAAAAGATTATTGCTGCCTAAATTTAAGGAAGGATTTTTATCATCTCCATGTCTCCAGTTGACATGTTGTAAAACTAGTGAACATAATGTTATACCATTGAATTATTAGAGAGTCTTTCGTGGTTAAACATCCAGAATAGCACATGTATTTAGCTCAGCTTTCATCGGTTTAGGCATGTTAGTTATCAGAGTTGAAGATGAAGACCTCAACATGAAAAATCACACTTTCCATTGAGAAAAGAACAAACATTTAATCGGGTTGCTGTTAATAATAATAATAATAATCTAATAGTCCACTCCAAATTTTATTAAACCGAAACGGAAATTCTTTTTGCCCAATTGATCGTGAGCTCGGCAGCCACTGAGCAGCGCCAGATCGACGTTGCTCTATCCCTTATTGTTGAACGCCAAACAAGGTAGCAACAACTCCCATCTTTTAACGTCTTTTGGTATGACGCGGCCGGGGTTCGAACCCACGACCTCCCGGTTGTGAGGCGGACGCTCTACTGACTGAGCCAACACTCCGGTACATAAATAGCTACATGTAACAGAATCACAAAGAAGTTCAATAAATCAACATAATGCGATTCAAAATAGCCTTGTCAATCGCCTTTTCATACGTGTGAACATGACATTAAAAATATTACGTAACCTGAATATAATTTATATCGGTAATGTATGTAAAAGCAATAGGGCTTGAGTTGATTCCTCTAAAGTCTGTGCGATCATATTAATTGGATAGAAAAAGATTATTACAGTGTCATGAATTACATTTGCACTCGCCGTTTCTCATGTGTGAACCTTCCCTGCATTCACACTGGAATCCTCCAATCGTGTTTGTGCAATCCTCGTTAACGCCACAGGCATCACTGCGAAGACATTCGTTAATATCTGAAGTAAGAAAATACTGGAATAGTTTATTTCGTGACCATTTTTTTTGGTGGGGGGGGGGATTTGTTTAAAAAAGTGCCTTTTCTACTATCGTATTTCGAATTTAACGCTGTTTCATTTTAATTGCTTAATTCAACTTAAATTTTAACTTAAATATTTACTTTAATTTGTTTTTGATTTATTCTAGTAAATTTTAGTATTCTAGTAATTTCCTAGTAAATAAGTATATCTTTTCTGCTGCATTCTCCCCTGTTAATAGTCATACTACTACGCTAAGACAGTCTCCACAATGGTATATTAGATACTCATTGTCATGGTCAGAAATCGATATTATAACGTGGAGCAGGCACATTATTGAACTCCAGATTTATCTGACAAAAAAGTCCTCATATTCGAGGGGGTTCCCTCTTTCTCCAAATTAGTTAGAGGGAAGCAAATAAAGGCCATCACATTCAGACATTTCTGGGATGCCCTTGTAATCCGAATCCAGGTCCTAAAGTGATTTCCTCCCATGCTCGTTGAACTAGACTAAAAGGTTAACACAAACGAATATTTTAGAGGTTTAGATAATACAAAGATTATCGCCGGTATATCACTATTTTGCGGAAGTTATGCTAATTCTATAGTACGTTTTAAGTTGTCTGCATAACTAATAGTCTATAATTTAAGAGATATAGGCCTACAAACCTTCATCACATGTATCTCCAGTAAAGCCCACAGCACACTCGCAAGCGTATCCCAGTAATTCATCCACACAAGTCGCACCATTAAGACAAGGTGACGGATCACATGAGTCGATGTCTAAAAAAGAGAAGACGAGTGTCAACTATGTATTATAAGAAATACATAATGAACACGCATTTTGTCACCAAATCCATGAACTTGGCCAACAGTCTTATTTAGGGTTTTGCCCCAAAAGTGCATAAAAGTTTTTCCAGCTAGTCCGATCGTCTTCAAGAAGCCGTACTTTTTAAAAAAAAACATACAGGAAAACTGAAGGCGTTGATTAGTGGTATCGGTTTTTTATTCTTCTGCTTCTGCTTCTTCTTCTTCTTCTTCTTCTTCTTCTTCTTCTTCTTTTTCTTCTTCTTCCTCTTCTTCTTCTTCTTCTTCTTCTTCTTCTTCCTCTTCTTCTTCTTCTTCTTCTATGTTAGCGTACTGGTCACAATATGTATCCCGAATGTATCCCCAATTTTGCAAAGAGAATGCAAAGTGAATACTTTCTACATGTTTCTATTTCGCAAAAGTATACTAAGACCACCTGGTCCTTGTTTTGAGCCAGTGATGGGTCCACATAAAATTCTTAAATTTCAGTGTATTATTTTTTTTAAATCTTTCGCTGTGGGAACGGACATAAATGTGTGCATGATTCATTCTTAGGCTAAACCAGATAGGGTTTTACCGGAAGCACATGCGCCCCCCCCCCCCCCGTGTGTAATTGTGAGCAATCTTGTACGTACCAATTTCACAATTACGCCCTGTGAATCCGGCTTGGCAGGTGCACTCGTAGGATAACACTCCAGCGTCGCTACAACTGCCGTTAATGCAGGGTGATGAGGCGCAGTCGTCTATAACTATATTTCATAAAATACCAACAACAGCAAACAATAATAATACCAAAATAACTTGCACATTATTAAAAATCATTATGAAAATGTTTACCCTGTGTCTTTCCTTTGCACATTTAATTTCATTTCTTTATTCAATTCTGAAAGTAAACATGATAAATGAATTCCTTTTTTTTAACTATTCACGATTGTATGATATTCTCAATTTAAAAAAAACTAACAACTAAATTGGGACATCCATCCCCATTTAAATTGTTCATTCGATGCCCCTGCGTCCAAAAGGTGAGCTTTACAACTTAGGAATAATTTTCTACTTCTTTGCTTAAATCATTTATTTCTATAATTTAGAAAGAATTTACTTACCTTGCTCGCAGTAAACTCCGGTGTAACCCGGTTCGCATATGCAAACAAATTTGGTCTCGGGTTGCCGAGTAGTCAAAATGCATTCTCCAGTGTTGTCACAAAGGTTAAAACCTGGACAGCTCGTATCTAACAAGTGCAAGAATTTGTTCAATTTTAATAATTGTAAATTTTGTATTTCTCACGTATTAATAGTGCCTTCCACCCCCCCCCCCCTCCTCCTCTCCTATCGCTTGATTTTAAATGTCGAATGATTGTTAATATTTTGGTGTCGAGTAATGATTATAGATTGTGTTGTTCAAGAAAATCTTATTTTACCGTATAACACATTCATCTTTTTAAACAAAACATTCTTCTCGTCCATATATCCATTGCCAGTACTATTTTTCCCCTGAAAAGGTACATAATACTTCATTTGCAGCTTGCAAGATCGCCTATCATCTGTTTTTTAAATAATATACACGAAACAGTTTGACACGGGGACACGAAAAAAGCCGCCCCCTCACCCCATCAAATGGTGTAAAGGAAGAGAGAGGAAGAGAGAGAAGAGGAAATTCAATTCAACTCAATTCAATTCAAACTTTATTGTCCAATAAATTGGAAATTTGTTTCGTTTGCATGTCATAGAAATGCATGCGAAGACAAATATGATTCGAACCCCTTTATTACACCTATTTTTCGCATTACCCCCTCCCATGACACCAGTGTAATCCCCTCCCTATTCAAAACAGAAATCACGCTACGTCACTTTACCTGCATAGATGTGTATTTCGACAGGGGTGGGCAAATAACGGTCAACTAGATGAAGGCTATTGTCCGGAAAGTCAGCAGCATAAACGCCGTCGAAGTTAAGGTCAGAGAAGTAGAAATCTTCAAAATACTTTGCAATACCAAACGGATGGATGTCGAGATTGCTTAACTCAATGTGTGAGAGTCGGGTCATTTCGTCTAGATGAATACTTTCGATTCGGTCCCTAGTTGGATCGGTCCAATACAGCCTCCTCTCTATAATAATGACATAACAACAAAATTAATCACTCCACAATGAAAACATCGAACTACAAATGAAACATCATAATGATAACAGCATCCAATTTAATCCAATCCAATTCAGACCATAAGAAATATGATTCATCGCATTTTCCTTGCAGTTACAAAGGACTGCTTTTTAACGCAAACTAGAAGGTAAAAATGCATTTACATTGAGGATTAAGTTAATAACTAACATTACCCGAGCTAGTGTTACCAAGCTTTCACGTGTATATATACAATTCATTGGACCATGTTTATGACGTCAGATTTGACGTCAGGGGAATTAATGTCATTTTAATTGACGTCAGGCTGGACTTTCAACATACCTGCCGAATCGAGACATATGCCGTTTGGACTCTCAAGATCGGAATCTACCAGGACTTCTCGCCCAGTCCCATCAGGATTAACCATCTCGATCTTTGGGCTTGGTCCTTGCTCCGTCCAGAAGATTTTCCTGAAATGAGAAGGTCGTCAAAGAAATGTAAAATCTAACTCTACAGCGCGGAGAAAAGGAGGTTGAATTTTGGTGAAGGTGGGGTGGTGGTAGTGATGAAGATGAACATATGATGATGATGATGACGATGATGGTGATAATTAAGGGTGATAAATAATGATGAGCATAAACATATGAAGAAAAGTCTGTTTTATTATCTTGCTGCGAGATGTCCTAATAATTACCTGTTTGGCTTTCATCCATCGCTTTGTAAAAAGGTAGGAAGATTCCATTTTATTTTTAGAGAAAGTTACATCATTAGGATTGTACATGTAAATCTGAAATATGTACGAAAGCATTATGTAAAGCAACAGACAGTGACTTTTATCATAACTTTCTATATGTCCTTTATAAATACTGAAAGGTACTCTTTCTCAAAACAGTATTTCTTACTTTTTAATTCAAATTAAGTGTTCATCAGAGGAAATAAATGTTGCCAATAGAAGGTATTTCTCGCAATTGTTGCCGAACTAACATAATGCGAAATCGTATTATAAAACTTCTAAACCATTGCAATAGGGAAATTATGATTCGGAAATGATAAATGCGTTTTAAGAATATAAAATATATTGGTATTATCTAGATATAATAAACATAAATCAAGTATACAGACCTTCGAATTGTTGAGTAAACTATTCCAGCCGCGTTCGTATTGAAGCCAGTGGATATCAAGTCTTGTCTATTGGAGCCATCAAGGTCCGCCATCTCGATCACATCGTGGTACTGGTCGGCCCAGTAAACCTTGTTTTCGTCGAGGTTCAGGGCGATCCCATAGGGATCTGAAAGTAACAAGTAAAATTAACCTGTAAATTTTGGTAAAATTGGTATGAGGGTAATGAGCTGCTAAGAACTGATTTGATAAGCTTTCATTCTTTTAAAATAAAAAATTCCTCTTTAGTTTCCCACCCCGAACCCTCCCCGAACCCGGATCCAAAAATACATCCGACTAATCATATAGTCTTAAAAATAAACACCTATATACAAAGGAATTATTAACATGGGTATACAGATTAATAAAGGCTCGTTCGGATCATATTTTTCGGCGGTTTACCGCCCTATATCTGAACAAACCTCAATTGGCAATCATCAAGCTTAATACTGTTATACTTACATTCGAAATTCGCCGGGATACTTATCGGGTCCAACTGGGCGATGACCTCCTGCATGGAGCCGTTCAGAGCAGCCCTATTGACTGTATGCAGGGAGGCATCTGTCCAATAGACGATCTCTGTCCTGGAATCAAACTCCACACCGACCGGCAGTTCAAGTCCTGTGAAGGGGAGCCGGTTGAAGGAACTTTTGACGAAGCTTAACCCGTCTGTCTCGGCCAAGAGGATGGTGCCGTTGTACGCATCGGCCACAAAGAGCTTGTCGGCTGTAAATGAATCATTAAGTCAGTTTGTTACCATTTAACAATGTATTATTATTAATATCTTAATCTATTTATTTGTAGTTCAAGTCAACCATCTATATTTGATAACACTGGATTCATTTGCTCTCAGGCTCCAAGAGAGATGTTCATGTTGTAATAATGTTTGAGACCCTAAATAGCTTTGTTATCAAGTTTTAATTTATTTCATTTATTTATATATTTATTTATACATTCATTCATTCAACGGGTCATTAATGTTATTAAGAGCAATATCGCTTTTAGGAACTAATTCACTAAGGCATTTGGGATTAATGCTAGCATTAAAATCGCTATTAAGGCTAAGAGTGATCGCGATCACTCTTATCTTAGCCTTACTTAAGACAGTCTTAGCAATACTTTCTGGCAAAGACAAAACTGTCAAACTGAAGCTAAATTAGAGCAAACACGAGGAAAATAGATATTGTTATTCACTGATTTGATTTACTCTATGATAGGGTAGGCCTAACTTAGTGCCAACAACAAGTAAAACACCTTAGACTTGGAAGATTCTACATCAAGACTGTACGATGATAACCCCCACAGCCTTGGCCCAGCCCACGCTAGACCGAAGTTTCTGTCTCTTTCGTTCGTTAGCGTATGATTTGGTTAGGGTAGGGTTGGCTCCTCTGGTCACTTGGGTTTCACTTTGTACCGATTTTCAACGAAAGGTTAATATGATTTACCCTAAAGAGAGCGTGGTCTACTAAAGAAGTCACTTTACTATCATTAATATAGGCATATTTGGCTTGAATCCCAGCTACCATTGTCATCTGTCATTACATCAATCTGTATTTCCAACTCTCGACCCAGTTGAAGTAAATGGGCACCCAGGATAAAGAAATTCCATGATGATGATTGAATACTTAGGCTTCTTAACATTAAAGCTCGTCTCCACTCGAAGTAATAATAATTTAGCTGTTAATCCGCAGACTGAAGCCGAAAGACAAATCCTCTTCATCCCGCAGGGGTTTAATGTAGATTTGAAGCTAAAGAGGGGAATTGTCTGAGGTAGTTGTCCGGGTAGTTATGTAAAGCATATTTTTCATTATCAGCTCTCTCTCTCTCTCTCTCTCTCACTCTCTCTTTCTCGTGTTATTTGAATGAGGTGTGAAAATTTGTTCATCATCACATGGTCACTTTAATGTAAAAGAAGAATCAATACTTACTACAACTCGATGGACTAACAAAGAGGTGTACGGTCACTAAGGTGAAGATCCAAAACTGCTGTAACAGATCCATTTTGATGTCCACTTCTGGTCCAAAAAACAACATGCGGAATAAAAAAAGGTGAAACATGGAAACGATAAAGGGTGCAGAGGTTGTCCCATCTTGCTTCCCTTCGGTGTAAATGTCAGATCTTTACCTCAGACCTTTTTAACTCTGGCAATGTTATCTCTTAACATTTTTATAGCTCTCACATATTTTTTTTACCTCTCACCGCTTCCCCTCTACCCTTTAAAGTCAATTTTTCGTCAGATGCACCATAGGACCTTAAAGTGGAATAACGTCGCGTGAGCCACTCCTGGCCAATTTTAGTCCAGATTCTGTCCATTTATATATTATATATTTCTCCAATCATCGTTGCCCTTCTCCCTTACACGCTATTCCACATAGATCGCCATGTCTCTACTCATCGCGCCCACCCCCCCCCCTCCCCCCCCCCCCCAAAAAAAAAAAATTAAAAAAATCGGCGCAACAATGAAAGGATCCTGTCTCCGTTTTAGCGTTTAGGGTACGTGTGCTATTTTCTAAGCCGGCTGATTGGGCCCACGACACGGAAATAGTCAAGGCAGTGAACTAGGCCAATCACAGCACTGGATGTTTTCTTATGTAGGACATTACAATCAAATATAGGAGTATAGTGTAATGAGTATTCCGATGGGGGAGATTAGTAGTATATAGAAGTAGAAATTATAGTAGTAGTAGATTAAATAATAATAATACTAGTAGTATTATTTAGTAGTACTATAATTAGTAATAGAAGTAGTAGTAGAAGTAGAAGTAGTAGTAGAAGCAGCAGCAGCAGCAGTAGTAGTAGTAGTAGTAGCAGTAGTAGTAGTAGTAGTAGTAGTAGTAGTAGTAGTAGTAGTAGTAGTAATGGTAGTAGTAGTAGTAAAAGTAGTAGTAGTAGTAGCAGTAGTAGTAGTAAAATCATTATTATTATTATTATGACTTATATCATTTTGTTATTTTGGTTAACTATCATTTTCATTATCATAATTATCATAATTACTATCAGCATTTATATTACCATTATTATTAATATAATTTCTATCAATTATATTTATATTGCTTTCATGCATGGAAAATTACCTGTTGACCCGACAGCCATGATATCAGTATAATTCTTCACCATGTACGTTGTATAATCACGATGGGAAGAAGGAGCACATGACATGCGTGGCAGCTAAACTATAATGTAAACATAAATAGATGGATGGCTTTGCTGCCGCATACTGATATTAAGGTTTACTAATTAACGTATGCTCACAATTTGGTGGCTGAAAAACGGGGTCATTAAATAATTACAGGGCCACCGGTCTGGGACCCACAGTATTTACTTGTTAGACAACGTACTTGACTCCGAACCTATTAGCATTTTAAGCATCATTATGTCCGCATAGTATGGAGCTATTAATTTCAACTGCCTTTCCAGCCTTTTAGTGTATTATTTGCAATTCATACGTTACATAATGATCATTTTGTATCGTTGTTTATCATCAGCGTTTATATAGGCATTCTTTGTCACGAAATCTTTTTACATTCATCTACCCCTCTCTTCCTCTCTCTCTCTCTCTCTCTCTCTCTCCCTCTCTCTCTCTCTCTCTCTCTCTCTCTCTCACTCACTCTTCTTTCTCTCCCTAATTGATCCTTATCCACTTCCTCTATCTCTATATTATACCTCTCTCTCCCTCCCCCCCCCCCCCCCTGTCTCAAATGTCCTGTATACCATTACCAGTGAAAAGCAGGAGTTGAAACCGTATTTTTAAAGTTCGTTCAGTACGAGATTTCTAGACATAGGAACGAAACACATACACAAACGCACAGCAAATAATACAAAATCAAAACTTACTTAAATAAGATAAGAATGAACAGCAAATAGGCCTAGATCCAATCTAAAGCGACTGTACGTGTGGCGTCGCTGTCACTTCTCAATGCAGAATTAAACTTTACATACCGAAAGTGCAAACTGTATACCATGAAGTGGCGCTCAATTATTTACTTCTTCAGAAACCAAAATAAGGACAGTTGAGTACCGTTTGTATTATTCACTTGCTATAAAACTCGTACTCCGGAAAAGTGGCCTTGGGATCTTGGGTTAGAATTATTATTCTCTCCGGCCTTTTGATCATCGCTTGCTATTCAGTGTACCCACGCTCCAGTGATGCCGCATAATAGGCAAACAGAATAGAATCATTTTAGATTTCATGCAGTTCCCTTTCCGTACATCGTTGTTTACACTTTCACTTTCCCCGATAATTTTTGCGCATGTAGTTCCTCTTTTTCTTTTATTGCCACGGGATCTTGGGTGAGAATTAGTGTTCACTATCGGGCGTTTATCATCGTCACTTCGTATTGTATCCACGCTCCAGTGATCCCGCATGAAGGCAAACAAAATAGAGTCATTTTGGATTTCTAGAGACAGTCCTTCGATATGCGTGATTACCCCTACGCTCTTTCATGCCCTTCCATGCAGTTCCCTTTTCTTGCATAGCATAGTTTTACACTTTCCCCGGCACTTTCCCCGATGATCAGGGACTTTTAGATTTGCGTGGACTGATACGTGTGACGTCCTTTCAAGGCAGTGTATTAAAAGGACGTCGACCGTAGCAATCCCCATTGTCTTCGTGCGAATCTAAAAGTCCCTATTTTCGCGCATCTTGTTCCTCTTTTCCTATTACAGGAATATAGAATGTCGTAGTAACGTTATACATGTACTGTGTGTTCTTCATAGGTCGGATTATCTTGTTATTTGGGTTGACCCTAATCTTACCTATATTCATACTCGATAAGTGAAAACTACATTTCTTCAAAAAGTGCGGAGGAGTGACTGGCTTTAAAAAAAAGAGATCTCACTCTTACTTTCTTGAATCCGATACAATAAAGCTTGTATAAATAAATACATTTATCATTTTAGAGAGTGTTGAGAGATTACGATCTAAGGCGCGTCGGAACTGGATAATCCTGATTATTTTACTCCAACTCTCGTGTTTGGTGAATGACGTGAATAGTGTTATACATCATCTTTGTGTCAATAGATCCTAATGCATTTTTAGAAGTAACCCCCGTTCTGAGGGGAAGCTATATGGACTGTCGCGTTAATATGAGATCAATAGAATGTAATGTATTTGATTACCGGCACGGTAATGTTGTTTTCATTGTTACTACCCCCCCCCCCTCCCCACCCCCATAACAAGTTTATTGATACACTGGAAATAAAAAATGAAATAAAATCACAGTGACGTGACAGTGAGAAAAGAAAGAAAAAGCACAACAAAAAGCAAAGGAAATGGAAAGAAAGAAAGGGAAACGAAATGGAAAGAAAGAAAAGGAAAGAAAACGAAACGATATGAAAAGAAATTAAAAGGTTAATTAATAACCACCTTTGAAATCATTCAAATCGATCAACAACAACAAAAAATGACTTGTCAAAATGTTAATAATGCTAATAGGTTTGAATACACTCTCACTTCTATGTTTTCTATACACCAATAAAACGCATGCCACATACGTCTCGCGTATAGAGAGTCAAATTAGCCCTACCTTTCAGTACAACTACTTTAAAGGTAAAGACCAGTATTGGAAACGCCCCAATTTCAAAAAAATGAAATGGAAGCCCTTATTACCAATCATGTGAAAGAGTAAGTTGTGACTAATACATGATGATAAAATTTTTGCCGGGAAACCGCCTAGTAATTGATATATTTGGTAAATTAGTTTATCTATTGGTGTGTGAGAGATAAACGAACGTGTCGCGCACGTGTGCGTGGTCCAATATAAATCTTTCTGTGTACAGTGCTTGTAACTTTACGAAGACTGGGCCAAATTTCTTATCATTTTGATGATTCCAGAACCTTGCAGTACACACCAATACTTATATGCTAGATGATCAACCTTTTCTGATCGATTCCACAACGTTTCTTTCACAATGCAATCGCATTGACCATAACTGGTCTTTATCTTTAACCCTAATGATTGATGCATGAACGTTACAACAGCGGAGAGAAATTTAAAAACTCAGTGGATCCGTGTCAATATTTTGTTACATCTATTGACTCTACATATTACTGAGTGACATGAACGAATAAGCAATCAGTGAGAGATGGCATCATTAGAGTGTTTATAGCTTTAGCATATTAATTGGAAAGCTGATAAATCTGTGGAGCCAAGTTGAATTTCATAGACGAATTGACTGTTGATGGAAACGTAGCTTGTTAATATTGATCTGACATGTTCTGACATCTATTAAAAAGCTGTCGGATATGTTTTGGTGGTGTTTTTTTTTTCAAGGACTTATACTGTACTCAGATTGAAGTATATTGTTTACTTGGTACTGTCAGAAAATAATGGTGGAAATATTGTGGCCTTTCTCTCCCTTTTTCTCTCTCTCTCTATATATGTACGCTTCTCATCATTTTCATTAGACAAAAACTTAATTGGTACGTTTCTGTGACGTGCTCTAACTTTTCACCGATATATTTCTTTGAGCTGTAAAGCGTTTCCAAGGTTATGTGCCTTGTTCAGTTTCCTATAAAGCATTTCTAATTAAAGGTTATGTGCCTTTTTAAAAAAAAAATTAAAACTATTTGCGCGTTGCCTTGGAAACGCTATAGAGATGATAAACCTTAATTTTTGTCAAAACTACTTTATAAGACGTTATTCGTGAACCTATAAAAAACTGTTTGATTTAAAGTTTGAATCGTCTGTTGTTCATCATTTATTGCGTCAACTTTTCCCATCACTATGACTTGTTATCGGATATATATATATATTATCTCACTGACAATATCTCGACTATCAATGGAGTTATCACGCCAGGGACTTCTTTTTATAAGAGTGGGTATGACAAAACAAAAATAAGGAAAAATCACTTTATTTTTATTCTGTTCCCAAATTATTTTCATTATAATTGTATTATCATTAATATAATCATTATGTTTATTGATATATTAGTTAGAGTTTTTTGTTTCATATGTATTATTATCGATATTATTATTATTATCATTGTTGTTATCAATATTATTATTGGTATTATTTTCTGTTAACTCAACAGCTCAACAATACTTGTATCTTGAAAAGCCAATTTTATTTAATTTATGTTATTATGTAAATTACCTTGAATATATATTTTTGTATGTGTTTCAAACGAAAATCAATAAAATCCCTGTGGAGGGAAAAATATGAAGAAAAACAAATTATTGGTATTATGACTACTTAAACTTCTACTACTACTCCTACTCCTACTACTACTACTACTACTACTACTACTACTACCACTACTGATTTGAATTGCTTTTCCTTTCTTTTTCTTGCTTTAAACCTCTGTTGCCTTCTTGAAAGAACAGTCTCGTGAAGTCCTTGCCTGCACACAGTTGCAGATTTTATTAGGATTTTGGTCCGTATTGATGTATATCTTTCAATGATCATTGAATATTAACCCGGCCATACGTGAGAAAAAACAACATATCAATTCAGCACAGATACAAGCAAGCATTGCGTTTATTCAAAGATGTGATTGCTCCTTTATAGGAAAATGGATCTAATTAGCTTTTATTTGGCATGAGCGGGTCAGTGTGCACAATGAAGGACACGGTTAAAGAGAATGTTAAGTTCTGAGGAACTTGTGACCTTTTCGTTCTTCTATAAGTTAGTATGGAGGAGTATCACAAAGTAAATGTCCTCCGAAAAAGACGGCTCTTCCAATTCTCTTAAATTAAAAATGTGACATGTGACACCTAGATGTTGTGGACCAAATTTTCATGCCACATGTCTGTGTAGTCCCATACCCATTTGTGTGTACAGTGTATGTGACTTTTAGCAATCAATGCCTTGCCATTTCCTATCATTTTGATGGTTCCAAAACTTCACACTACAGACTGAGTCCAAAAAAAGTTTACACCTAGAGAATTGCTAATCATTTAAAAAATCATCGATGAACATTAAACTGTTATGTCTAATGAAAGAGTGTTTTATCCCAAATCAGTTGGTACCATTTTTGTGTGGTATGTGTTCACGCTTGGATGAACAGGAGACATTGTTAGCGAGAGTGCAAAATCGAATTGCGCCAAAGTTGCCTATGTGATGTTTGAATAAAACAATTGGGATTTGGGTATTAATTCGGTCTTTGCAGATCCAAATATCGAATATCAAATATCAACGAACATTTTTGCGCGTGTTTGTGGGTGTGTGTGACTTTGCCCTTTGCAAAAAACATATGCAATGCATTTCATTTGATACATTCAATCCATTCTCTCACTCCGCTAATCCCAACATAATACATACTGAAGGCATCACTTTGGCGCAAGTCGATTTTTGCACTCTCGCAAACAATGCCACCTGTTCATCCAAGCGTGAACATATACCACACAAAAATGGTACCAAATGATTGGGGATAACAAACTCTTTTATAAGATGTATAATAATTTACAGTTCATAGATGATTTTAAAAATATTTAGCAATTTTCTAGGTGTAAACTTTTTTTGACTCACACGGGTATACACCTATACGTACATGTACACGTATGTGCTACGTATTATAAATCTTTCCCTTCGCTGCAGTTTCTCTCACAATGCATGACCAAAACTCAACTTCAGCTTTAATGACACTCAAGTACATCATCTACCATTCCACCCCATTACACGATATTGATGTGGAAACAGTGCACGAAGTCATATTATATCAGTTAATAAATGCCTCCTGAAAATCAGTGTCCGATTGACCTCGGCCATTCAATATGAATTATCACTTGTCAACCAGCAAATGGGTGGATGTGTGATATGCCTAGCCATCACTGCCTCATTATTGCAGGATATACGGTTGCATGAAGTTGGTATTCAATAACGTAACAAGCGGGAAGAATCTCAGCTCGGCTGGAAAAAAAAATTATTGTAAGCTCATTTTGGAGGAAAGGTGATTTGAAGGTAAATCTTTTCTTCTTTTTTAATTTGTTTTAATTGTTCCTTTCATTTTTTAAATCAGACAGTAGTACAGTACAATCCAAATATTGTATATATATATTTGTGTATGTATGTGCGCGTGTGTGTATATATATATATATATATACATATATATATATATGCATGTGGTGTGTGTGCATTTGTGTGTGTTGGAAAGGTAATACCATCAAGGGAGTTCAACTTGGAAAAACATGAAAATAAACAGATATTAATGCCGAAAATATTTCTCTTTTTGTGAAATATACAAATTTTATTAATAAGCTAAAATATCTTTTGGACCAATTTTGGAAAGTCATCGGTTTTTAAGTCAATAACGGAAAGAAAAAATTATGAGAAGGATAAAGATA